TTCCTTTTCTGTTCCTGTAATATTTACTACAGCAGCTAGAGGACACTGCTCCCAATAAACTTTAGTATGGGCAGTAATAACCTGCTTGCACGGTGATCCTAAGCGGTGGTTCTTTTTCGACAAAAGCCGGCTACTGTTTGTGATTGGCTTGCCGTGACATTCTTACTGTGACACTAACCAATCTCACTCCACTTGCCTGACCCTCACCAACCCAGCAAACATAGGTAATGAGTACTAGCTAGTCAAAAGGAGATTGGGTCATGCCTTCACCATCCCAGTAAAACATTTTTTGGCCACCTTACACAGATGGACTTTGTCGCTCTTTATACTACGTCACTTGAATTCCTCCTTTGCTTCCATCGTATGAGGAAGAACAGCCTGCAGCGTGTAGGTCACATGATCACAGCCCCATTGCTCACGACTATGTGGGCTGCATATGAATTATAGTGCGTTACTTTTTGTCGGTATAAATATGAACAGTGAATGAAAACAACCTGAACAAGCAGATATCACTCAAACACAAGTCAGATTTGGTCCGTCAGTGATAATTGATCCATTCTCAGTCAGAGGCAGCACAGAAATGAATACCGAGATGGCCAAGTTGTTCATCACAATCAGCTTTTCATGGACTTAACAACAATAGCAGTCGTCCAATACGGCCACCAGAGGATGTATTGTAGTAATAAGTTCAAAACCTCAATGCACACATCCACTTAAGTGTACCTGCCTCCTGGAGCAATGTACACTCTACAACTATCACTACACTAATGGTGACAATATTGTGTAATATAACAATTTTAGAGGACACCACGCTCCCCTTTCATTGTCATCATGAACAGAATTGACAGGAATTGATTTGGCACATTGTGACTATGCCGAGGAAATATATTGAGTGGTCATGACAATGAGATTTTAAGACGGTGTGTACACATTTGTCACTTTGGCATTTATACACAGACAGACACACACATGCTTGCTATGGCTCTAATATTGATTTCCCTAAAGGCTGTCTACAGCTCGGTACACACAGAGGCACCGTCTATACTTACGTAGAAACATTTCTTGCTTTTATATTTCAGTGAATGCTATTTTTGAGCAGGAGATTGACTGAAGGAGTTTATTAAGCTGTCTTTGGAAAATGAACTTCTAAGAAAAAAAAAAAAGCTGTCTGTGAAGTTGTCTTGTTTTGAGTACAAACCTGCCTGTTATTTTGTCTTTATGGCACCATGTAAGCACAAGTTTATACCGTGTGTCAGAATGATCTTTAATTATATTTCTAGCATGGCTCCCTTCCAAGTTGTTGTTCAAGTTTAAATATGTTTATTTATTTCTCAAATTTCTGGTCCTATATCATAGGATTGACCATCCAAACTATGTCCAGTTTCGTTAATATAGTGTGTATGAAGTGTTACATAAATCATACAGCATCATAATTAATCTCTGTAGAGTCATTCCACTGCAGTGTTATTCACTGGTCAGTAGATAATGTTGTGTGACCTTAAATCATGCAACTCATCCTCATACAATGGTTCACATGATATCTAACGAAGTAGTGCTCCACGAATGATTTCACGTGCTAAACATAAAGTAACATAGGTTAGGTTTAAGAAAAGGAACATGGTGACCATGTGCCTTAAAATGACTCAAAGTTCACTTGGTACAGAAGACGCCTCCTGCGGGAGAAGTCCTGTGTTTTGTGACCCATCCACCTCCACAGCCTTCCTTCTTATGTGACTACTTCCTTCTTTACTCCCATCAGCATATATTTAAAGCCTTCCCAAAAATGTGATTTATACGTGAATTACTGCCTCATGATTACGTGGGATATGGACAGATTTGGTGCATTACTATTTGTAGGAAAATGTACAAACAGTGCATTAAAACAGCCTGGACCAAGGTACAAAAACATCCAGCCACGTCTATTCATCGTCGTGGTGCTGAAGGGAAATACAATTTTCCATCTATCTCATGCCACACACCTCAGTTTCATACTGTCTTTATTGACACAGGCAAATGAATCAGTGTCTGGGACTGAGTGTATCTGTATCACAGGCAGCCTCGTGTTGACACACATGTCAATGTTCATCTCCAGTCTATGGGGCAATATTGTACAGGCCTTTCCAGAGCAGTGTGTCCACACGAACACAAGCAGCCAGTGTAGTTATAGACGTGGCATAGTACAAGGCCAGTATTAGAATATTTTTTATTTCTGCTTATTTAGTAGATGGCACAGGGCTTTGCATGGAATTTTAGTAACTAACGAGGTTTAGAAAGACATGGACTTTGACTGTGTTGAGAGTACATCTTGATCATCTGCTATATAAGTTCTAATATCTTCAGCATAGAAACACACAGAATTGGTTTCTATTTTACAAGGATCAATGGATTCCAGTGTGATGTGGCTTTGCTCACGTGAGTCAAGTTCATGAATGAGATCACTCACCAAATTAACCCTGCCTGATTGGAGTAATGTCTGAGAACATGTGGCTCTTCTGGCAATGTCACCCAAAACAATTCATTCATTCATTCATTTTCCATAATAGCTAATCCTGTTAGGGGATACGGAGGGGCTGGAGTCTATCCCAGCTGTAACTGGGAAAGAAGCGGGGTACACCCTGGACAGGTCGCCAGACTATCACAGGGTTAACATATAAAGACAGACAACTGTCCATGCTCACATTCACAGCCATGGCCAATTTAGTATCACCAATTTAACCTGCATGTCTTTGGACTGTGGGAGGAAGCTGGAGCACCTTGAGAAAACCCACACTGACACGGGGAGAACATGCAAACTCCGCACAGAAGGGCTCCCCCACCCTGGGGTTTGAACCCCCCTCTCCAAAGATATTTACATCTACAGGGTGTCTGCAGGGTCTTAAAAAGTATTAATAGTTGATAAATCAAATGTCGGAAAATGAAGGCCATTAAAAAGTATTAAAAAGTCTTAATCGCGATTTAATGAAGTATTAAATTTTCTTGGCATTCAAGCTTTGACAAAAAGTATCCATGAAAAAAAACAGGCCAAAAAATTTAATAACTTACAAATTATGGCGAAAAGGTAGTTTCTTGCAACCCTAGAATTAAGATAAAAATATTCACAAACGAAAAAACACTTCTGGTTGCTGATAAGTAGTGTTTAACTTTTGATTTAACACTAAAAATTAAAACCCTCGGCGCGCACTGCAGCGCAAGCAGACAGATGCGCGAGACACCAGACTCAGAGCGCAGCGGACCAGTGGAAAATGTCACCATCAGCATATTATTTTACATCAATAAAATCTATTTTATCATTATTTTGAGTCACATTGTTGAAAGAATTTAGCCGTCTGTGTTCAAGCAGGATAATAGGTCTCCATTCATTGCACGTCTGGCTTTCTATTTCCTTGTCGGAGATGTTTTCTTTTTAAATAACCAAACAAAAACAATCAATCAATCAAAAACACAAACTGGAACTGGAACATGAAATCTTATATGCCTAACAGACATTGCATGTCGTTCTTTGAGTTTACATATGGCTGAAGGGGAAAAAAACAACAAGGTTGAATATTAATTTTTCTTTTTTCACAAACAAATCCCGTGCCATCGAACGAAGCTTCAAATTTTTTTGGGTCAGCCCTAAATCCCACATGCAAGGGGCTAGCCATAAGGTTGTTGTTTTCAGCAAGTTGGCCTTGAATAGCTGATGTTGAGCTGTAGAGCTGTGTTACTTGTTATGACCTAAGGTGTATTTTAATAAACCTGCCTTTGGTTTAATTTATTCTTTCAAACTTCATTCCTTTTCATCTTATCTGAATTCTGTTGTATGTTTGTGCTCCATCGATTTAATTGCAAACTACAACTGTTTAGTAAATTAAAGATGCGTTGCTGCTAACGACAGATTGAAGTGGCGATGAGGTCTTAAGGTTTTTTGGAAGGTCTTAAAAAAGTCTTAAAAAGGTATTGAAATTAACCTCAGGATTCCTGCATATACCCTGATCTATTATTATGTCTGCCAGGTGTAAGCTTGGAAGGGGTCATACGTTTAGTCAGGTGTGTGCACGTGTGTATCTGTCTGTCTGCAGCCAAACTACTGGACCAATCAGCCTAATATGTTGTGTGCATATTTCCGACTGTAAGCTCAAGGACCGCATGTTGTTGCCGTGTTTCACAATTGCTGAAAAGCCTGTTTTATTGGCTGTTTCATAGCCTCACTGACTACTGACTCCTCACTCATCTTAACCGGCCGGTACAGGCCACAAGTCCTCAACAAAATCATGTAACAAAAGGCATTTCCCCACGGTATTGTGTTCAGGATGGGAAATACAATTTTCTTTCTATCTTTTGCTGCGCACCTCAGTTTCATATTTATTTTATTGACACAAGCAAAATGAGTCAATGTCTGGGACTGAGTGTTTCTGTATCACAGACAGCCGCATGTTGAAACCCAAACAAATCCAACCCAACACCACCCACCTGTACCTCAAGTTCAATTAAAATTCTATTCATTATTTCTGTGCATCATATTGGCAAAGCCACTAATAATAAATGGTACAATATTATAAATTATAAATTATCAAAGCAGCGTTGGTGTGTGTTGGCTGTGAAGTTCAGGAACCAACTGTCTGACTAAAGCAGCTTTCTTTTTTCTCCCTCCTCTTTTTTTTTTTTTTTTGGACTCAAGTCAAGTGCTTTAAATTGAGGCGAGCCTTCGGGGCATAGATTGAGATGTATCCAGAATTTTAATGTTCCCTTTTCAATTGTTTAGTTTAGGGAGAGCTGCCAGGTTCCCTGGTATCTGTCTCTCACTCACACACTCTCTCTCTCTCTCTTTTCTACACCTCTCGTTACCAGCTTTCTTTTTTCTTTCATCTGTCTTCCGGTCTTATCTTCCCTCCTCACCAACCCTCTTTCTTTGCCCATTTGTTTTTCTCTTTCTATTTGGCAAACACACAGACACATGCACACATACTCTGACCTGTGTTCTTTGTGTGTGTGTGTGTGTGTGTGTGTGTGTGTTGCAGGAATGTAAGCTCCGCAGGTGAGGAGGCGAGACGAAGGATGAGGGAGTGTGATGGCCTGACAGATGCTCTGCTCTACGTCATCCAGACCTCTCTGGGCAGCGGCGAGATCGACAGCAAGGTGTGTGTGTGTGCTAACTTTGAGCATCTAGGCTTGTGTTTATGTAATGTGCATGACTGTGCCTGCATGAATTCATTCATGCTCTTATCTTTCTCCATCAGTTGTGCTTTAAAAGATTATCATATAGTAAATGCGCTCTTTCAAACTAAGTCATGAAGTTGTGCTGCAGGAGAGAAAGGTGTCTCGTTACTTCTCTCGTAGACAAACTGGTGAAATCTCATTGCACAGGAGGTGACAAATAAAAAAACAACAATGGCTGAACCCCTTTTACTGCCAGCAGCGACAAGGAAGACAAATTTTAGTTTTCAAAGAGGGTACAGTTCATCAACATGTTTTATTTAGGGCAAATTAAAGCTCTCAGATTCAAAGTGTTGCAGCACTTCTTGCTGCCAATTTAGCTCTGCCACTAGTCAAAGTTGAGCGAGTTTATGTTCACTTTTTGTTTTTTTTTTTCAATGTGTGAGGACACGTTCATGTCGACGTGGAGTGTATATGTGTGTTCATGACACAGTATGTGGGGGCCAGTCAATACTACATAAACAGTGTTGTGGATGGCTGACTTCTCAAGGTCTCCCTGTCTCCCAGCCTCTCCAAATGGCCATCCTTAATCACTGCTTAACTGCCCGCCCCTCTTCACCATCTGACTGCAGTCACCAGAGGAGTACTGCTGTCGCCACAGTAACAAAGACTGATTGGCAGGTGAACCAGCACGTGGTCACTGTTGAAACAGCGATGAACATTAGCCTTGTGCTCTTTATGTACTGCGTTTTTCTCTTCTTTTTTTCCAAGACCTGTTCTGCCATACCTCCTCCTCACACTATTTACTGTTAATGGCAGGCTCATCTGATCTATCATTAAGAATAAATACTAGAAAATAGATCTCAAGGATTCAACAACATATGATTAATATAAAGTAGCACTACTATACCAATACTTTATGTAGATTATTTTTAAAAGGATATATTTGTAACATCAGTCTGAGCAGAAATTATTAAAAAACTCCAGCTGAGGATGTTCAAGTAACATTATAACTGATTATCTACCAGTTCATGTGCCCATTTACTCGTATAATCAGTTCGTCTCGGTTAGTGCTCTCACAAAAATTCCCCACACCATCACTCTCAGGATTCTTCAGGATTTGCGTTTTGATCATCAAGACGGTCTCAGCTCCCTCATCCTTGCCTTTCATGTTCACAGATCCAGACAGAAATGCGCCAGATCAGAGGAATATTCACTGTATGTAATGTGAAAATTATGTTTTATAGTCGGGCGTCCCATTAAACACAATCTACAGATTGCTGCTATTATGCTGTGAGGAACTGCACAGATGTGAGGAAGTTTTAGAGACATTTAAATAGGTTTCACAGTATGTACTGGCACACAGCTAAGAGCCAATTAACTTAACTGATAAAGTCATTTGACTGGTGCGAGTCCTAATGCCAGTTACATACTGCACAATATTCTTTTTGTTATGATGGCCACTGTGTTAGATTAGGCAATTATAAAGTCATAAAATCTTGCTGTGACTTGGCTAAGAGACACAACAGACTATACATTGGTCCCTGAACAGTCAAAGCTTGTTGTCTTTCACGATGCGTATTATGCCATGGGGACGGAGGTGCAAGGAGCTGACTTCCAGGAGCAAGAATGTAATCAAAGGATAGGCTTGTGTTTGATGCTGGCTGTCTTGTGTTCGGTTGTCGTCAACTGTTACACACTACATGAGATAAAACAATTGATTGACACTGCTCAAGGCCATTATCGTTCTCAATCCAAGCCGACACCCTACGAAAGGTGGGTCTGGCTGTAATTTGTATTATGCTGTCTGAACCAGGCAGTAGGCAAATCAAACTACAAACATAATCAATGCAGTGAAATACTGACATTTTCTAGATTATATGATGTCAGTATTCAACATTCACTCATTAAAGATTCATACTTTTATTTTGGGTTTCTACTAGCACATGTTAACATGCTTTAACACAATATTTTCCTATGAGGAACACTTAAACTGATACTAATTTATGTGGGTATTTTTTAAGACTAAAAACTAACCAATAAAGGCAGCATTTGCTCAGCATCATTTCATTTTATGCAGATGATGCAGAGGTTTTCTATCCGGAAGTTATTGCAAACAAGCATTGTGATTTGGTCTACGAAAGCTTCTAAACACAACCAGACATGTTCCAGCAGGAATATGATCCAAATACAGGGAGAAATTTACGACATCTGCAACCACAGTTACAGGTTTCCCTGACCCATGACTGGCAGGGCATACATGATGATGGCTCGGACCTTGTTCTTTCCATTCAGCCAATTTTCAGGACCTGCCTTACTCTGTGTAGGTATTTGGCTTTGGCTGTTTTCTTTGCAGCCTCTTCATGGTTCCCATTTGCCTGCAGGATCCCAAGGTATTTGTAGCTGTCCTGAACATTTGCAATGCTGCTGTCTGGTAGTTCAACCCCTCAGTTCTGGTCATCTTCCTCTCTCATGTAGAGGAGGTGACTGATGGTTGCTCCACTTCGGAAACAACCATCAGTCACCTCCTCTACATGAATGACATCAAGCTGTATACATATATATATATATATATATATACATATATACAGTACAGGCCAAAAGTTTGGACACACCTTCTCATTCAATGCGTTTTCTTTATTTTCATGACTATTTACATTGTAGATTCTCACTGAAGGCATCAAAACTATGAATGAACACATGTGGAGTTATGTACTTAACAAAAAAAGGTGAAATAACTGAAAACATGTTTTATATTCTAGTTTCTTCAAAATAGCCACCCTTTGCTCTGATTACTGCTTTGCACACTCTTGGCATTCTCTCCATGAGCTTCAAGAGGTAGTCACCTGAAATGGTTTCCACTTCACAGGTGTGCCTTATCAGGGTTAATTAGTGGAATTTCTTGCTTTATCAATGGGGTTGGGACCATCAGTTGTGTTGTGCAGAAGTCAGGTTAATACACAGCCGACAGCCCTATTGGACAACTGTTAAAATTCATATTATGGCAAGAACCAATCAGCTAACTAAAGAAAAACGAGTGGCCATCATTACTTTAAGAAATGAAGGTCAGTCAGTCCGGAAAATTGCAAAAACTTTAAATGTGTCCCCAAGTGGAGTCGCAAAAACCATCAAGCGCTACAACGAAACTGGCACACATGAGGACCGACCCAGGAAAGGAAGACCAAGAGTCACCTCTGCTTCTGAGGATAAGTTCATCCGAGTCACCAGCCTCAGAAATCGCAAGTTAACAGCAGCTCAGATCAGAGACCAGATGAATGCCACACAGAGTTCTAGCAGCAGACCCATCTCTAGAACAACTGTTAAGAGGAGACTGCGCCAATCAGGCCTTCATGGTCAAATAGCTGCTAGGAAACCACTGCTAAGGAGAGGCAACAAGCAGAAGAGATTTGTTTGGGCCAAGAAACACAAGGAATGGACATTAGACCAGTGGAAATCTGTGCTTTGGTCTGATGAGTCCAAATTTGAGATCTTTGGTTCCAACCGCCGTGTCTTTGTGAGACGCAGAAAAGGTGAACGGATGGATTCCACATGCCTGGTTCCCACTGTGAAGCATGGAGGAGGAGGTGTGATGGTGTGGGGGTGTTTTGCTGGTGACACTGTTGGGGATTTATTCAAAATTGAAGGCACACTGAACCAGCATGGCTACCACAGCATCCTGCAGCGACATGCCATCCCATCCGGTTTGCGTTTAGTTGGACGATCATTTATTTTTCAACAGGACAATGACCCCAAACACACCTCCAGGCTGTGTAAGGGCTATTTGACCAAGAAGGAGAGTGATGGAGTGCTGCGGCAGATGACCTGGCCTCCACAGTCACCGGACCTGAACCCAATCGAGATGGTTTGGGGTGAGCTGGACCGCAGAGTGAAGGCAAAGGGGCCAACAAGTGCTAAACACCTCTGGGAACTCCTTCAAGACTGTTGGAAAACCATTTCAGGTGACTACCTCTTGAAGCTCATGGAGAGAATGCCAAGAGTGTGCAAAGCAGTAATCAGAGCAAAGGGTGGCTATTTTGAAGAAACTAGAATATAAAACATGTTTTCAGTTATTTCACCTTTTTTTGTTAAGTACATAACTCCACATGTGTTCATTCATAGTTTTGATGCCTTCAGTGAGAATCTACAATGTAAATAGTCATGAAAATAAAGAAAACGCATTGAATGAGAAGGTGTGTCCAAACTTTTGGCCTGTACTGTATATATGTATATATATATATATATATATATGTATACAGCTTGATGTCATTCATGTAGAGGAGGTGACTGATGGTTGTTTCCGAAGTGGAGCAACCATCAGTCACCTCCTCTACATGAGAGAGGAAGATGACCAGAACTGAGGGGTTGAACTACCAGACAGCAGCATTGCAAATGTTCAGGACAGCTACAAATACCTTGGGATCCTGCAGGCAAATGGGAACCATGAAGAGGCTGCAAAGAAAACAGCCAAAGCCAAATACCTACACAGAGTAAGGCAGGTCCTGAAAATTGGCTGAATGGAAAGAACAAGGTCCGAGCCATCATCATGTATGCCCTGCCAGTCATGGGTCAGGGAAACCTGTAACTGTGGTTGCAGATGTCGTAAATTTCTCCCTGTATTTGGATCATATTCCTGCTGGAACATGTCTGGTTGTGTTTAGAAGCTTTCGTAGACCAAATCACAATGCTTGTTTGCAATAACTTCCGGATAGAAAACCTCTGCATCATCTGCATAAAATGAAATGATGCTGAGCAAATGCTGCCTTTATTGGTTAGTTTTTAGTCTTAAAAAATACCCACATAAATTAGTATCAGTTTAAGTGTTCCTCATAGGAAAATATTGTGTTAAAGCATGTTAACATGTGCTAGTAGAAACCCAAAATAAAAGTATGAATCTTTAATGAGTGAATGTTGAATACTGACATCATATAATCTAGAAAATGTCAGTATTTCACTGCATTGATTATGTTTGTAGTTTGATTTGCCTACTGCCTGGTTCAGACAGCATAATACAAATTACAGCCAGACCCACCTTTCGTAGGGTGTCGGCTTGGATTGAGAACGATAATGGCCTTGAGCAGTGTCAATCAATTGTTTTATCTCATGTAGTGTGTAACAGTTGACGACAACCGAACACAAGACAGCCAGCATCAAACACAAGCCTATCCTTTGATTACATTCTTGCTCCTGGAAGTCAGCTCCTTGCACCTCCGTCCCCATGGCATAATACGCATCGTGAAAGACAACAAGCTAATAGGTCCCCTTTAAAAGTGGTGACTGCTGCAGGGAGAAGTTTACTACTGCAGAGGAGTGGAAAGAAGCACAAGGTCATACAAACGAAACCTTATAACTGAAATAACTATGGTTTTGTATTAATTTTTTTTACTAGATTCTTACACAGTTAATAAGAATGGGATTTTCTTTTGTAAGATTGCTGCTCAGTAGCTGACCCCAACCTCTGACCTCCCCATGGACACATGAAGTACTGTGTAATCATTTTAATACCAAAGTCAGGAGTCTTTTTATTCCCTAAACCACGCAGCCGGAAAGAACAACTCAAGGAATAAATGTGAAATAACAGATCGAAATATGAAATGTCAAAGTAAATTGTAAATAAAATGTAACTTCTCCTACATTCTTCTATAATAGCATGTGAATAGAATTTCAGACATGACTGCAGCTCGCTGGAGTGAGACATTGTTTTGTTTGTTGCATCTCTTGAGGCCGTTCAATTACACTCCTTAGTTGTTTTTGTGTAAACCAACGGTCAGACAGAGAGAAGATTGATGATTCGTCTTTGTTAATTTCCACTCTGTTGACTCGATGACTCCCCTTTCTCACTGATACTGAACACACGCATGCGAGTACACACGCTCAGTGAAAGTACACACTTAGCGTAGACACCACACACTGTAGGAATTAGTTTGCTCTCGTTCAGGCACGCTCCTCGGCTGGCAGGCTCGCCTCTAAACTTGGTGTTTAATGGGGTGTGATACGATATATTGGGCTTGTCATTTTTCCTCATTTACCTGAGTTTCTTCTAATCTCATTTCAAAGTCAGTGCTAACAAAATACAGAAGTATATTACCTGTGAGATTATCTTTCTTTCCTTTCCGTCGCTCTCTGTCTCTCAGTCTCTCCGTCTGTCTGGCTCGTGGGTGGGGGGTGGAAGGCCGATAGTGTAAAAGTGTGAGAGTGGGCGGTTTTTATCAGTATGCTTTGACTTTGAGTTTGCTCTGTGTTTTCAAGCGAGATGTTTCATTAAATGGCATCAAACGCAAATCTCCCACCTCAACTTTCTCACTTTATTCATTTATATCTCCTTTTTTCATCTCCTCATGCTTCTCTCTCTCTCTCTCTCTCTCTCTCTCTCACCTACCTCACTTCATCTCTCCCGACTCTCTTTATCTCCAGACTGTAGAGAACTGTGTTTGCATCCTGAGGAACCTGTCGTACCGCTTGGCAGCCGAGACGTCCCACGGCCAGCAGGGGGGGCTGGAGGAGCTGGATGGTCTGCTCTGTGATGCCAATGGCCGTGACGGAGAGAGCTCTGGCTGCTGGGGCAAGAAGAAGAAGAAAAAGAAGGGAGCTGATCAGGTAAGGGGAGAGATTAGAGGAGATGATGTAGATTGATGGGGTGGGCACAGTGAATAAAAAAAGTTGGAAGTGATGTTGGTATTGGGCAACAGGAATAGCTTCAATGCTCCTTGGCATAGATTCTACAAGGTTGTGGTACTCTACTGGAGGAATAAACACCACTCTTCCTCATTTGATTTTGGGTGATGGTGGTAAGTTCCCTGACACACAAAGTCAATGGTCAGTTGTCGGTCAATGTTGGGGCATTGCTAAGTGTCTGTCGCCCTAGTTTTTGTGGTGTGTGCCACACCATCAGCCCTTGTTGGCTTTTTGTTGGCTGATTCAGCATGTCTGAATCAGTGTTGGCTCACCCATCAGTGAATGTAATCACTCAACACAGTTCAGCTCAGAACAGAGAAGAGAAACCAGACTCTCGCAGGCCGAGCAGCTACCCTCCATCAGCCGAACAGCTAAGTTGAAGTTTCGGCGTCCACTAACTTGAATGTGCATAAAATGATTTCGTCATTAGCTCCTCTAGACTTTCGAAATGTTATCAGACCGAATGGATCAATTCCTGATAGTGAAACAAGTCATTTTGCCATGACTGTAATGCTCAAAATAATTTAGACAGACATCTCTCTCCTAGTGTAAGTTTATTGGAAGAACTATTTTGGGGCCCAATGGCATCATGTGACAGGTGGCCACTATGAAAATTGGCTTCAAAGCCTGGGGGCCTACGCCTGCTGGTATGGAGAATTATTTTCTTACACAGGTGCAGAACATTCATGCTAGTTGGCAGTTGGCTGTAGGTGCTGGTTTGGTGTGTCTGGGCCTTATCACAGTCCAAAATCAACCATTGGTGGTCAGTTTGGTTGAGGTGATGTGGCTGTAAAGGCCATAGCATAGGAATCGCATCATTTAGTACTCAGAATATTCAGTGACCCCCTTGTGCTTTGTATAGAACCAATCGCATTCATTATGGTTCTCCACGTGTTTATTCTGGGATGTACTTTCATTTGTCCCCCATCTGTATATATACACACGGGTGCAAAAAGAAGATAGCTTTTATGATGAAGCAGGAACGCAGTGTGAGTGGTGGAAGCAGCCGCGCCTTCAACAGGGAGATGTGTGGTAAATAATGGAAGACAGGGATGAAAATCACAGATCACAGAGTATTATGCAAGCTGAGTTGAAAGGCATTGGCTTCTTTTATAATGTATTAACTCATAAGCCAATTTTTCACTGCTTTTTTTTTTTTTTTTTTAAAAATCACAGTTTATGTATTTGAAACTTTCTAACCTAACTTCTCTTGTCAAAAGCTTCATCATTCTTAGTTTATTTTTTTACTCTCTCCTCTTCCCCGCTGTCTACTCTGTTATGCCCTTTTCAGGCTGTTAAGGTAGAGGTGGACTACCCTCCATGGACGAGACCTGATGTTTTGCTGAAGTCAAAAGCGCACCTGAACAGCCTGCAGAGCTCTCAGTGCGTGAATGTCAGAATTGTCCATGGGCTTGAAACAGAGACACAAACAAAGCCCGTACTTGCGTCCTTAAGACCCAATGGACTGATATATGAGATCCAAGCCTGAGATTCAAAGCTTTATTTTTGTTTTATTTCATCCATTATTTGCCATCGGCTCTCCAGGCTAATGCAGCTCACTGGCTACACCGTGTCTTTTCCTCTCTTCCCTATGGGCATAAAACACATGACACACATTGACACAGACCATTTAAAGAGACAGACAGAGAAGAGGAAGAGAGGGATTCTTCATAAATAATATTTAAAAATCAAACATGAATCCCACCCGAGCCCGAGCGTGACACAACAAAATGGCTAATATTTTGTCGGAGACTGTCTGTCTATACACCAATATGAGAGTGAGGGGTAGTAGGTAGTGAGACAGGCACAGACTGAGGAGAAGGGTAGAAGCCAAGAGACTGGGTCAGAGAGAGAGACAGGGGATTGATGTAGGGAAGAAACCAGACAGGAGAGACAGATAGAGAGAGACACGGGCGGTGATGTTGTCTCCTTATCATTTATTAGAGGTTCGGACAGCAAGGCCAAGGAGCAGCACTGAGCCTAAACTGGAGCTACACACTCCTAAACCAGTACTGGAACACACACACACACACACACACACGTTTCTTTATTTATTTTCTTGCTATCAGGGAAATTCTACGGGTTTCTGCTTTGTTTCAAGACATGTCTCCTGAAAGTTCTTAAGCCCAGTTCAGACTAATGATTAGCGACAAGATGAAACCATTGTAGAGAAAAGTTGCAGCGGTTGCAACTGGCTGTCTGAGCTCGACTCAAGCCGGCTGATGGTGTCACCTGCAACTCCACTGGTCAAATAGCTGATGGCTAGTTTTAGAACCTAAGGCTGGTGACCTGTTTCTACAGCCGATCGGCTTGTACTGAAGTCTGCTGGTCAAGTCAAAATGACCACAGACGGCGTGTTCGCCTGCTGCAGGTGCTCCATCCCTGCCAAACCCTCTGTTTTCATCACTACTACAAATGCAACTGTAGCCAGTATCTCACTATCACTATCCCCATTCATAATTTAAGAAGCTACAAATAATATTCAGCCACAAAATGAGCCTGAAAAGCTGCAAACAAAGCAGAGAGTTGTTGCATAGAGATGATACACCATCTCATCCAGTTGCATCGGTGTGAACTGTCAGGTTTCGTTGCGAATCTTTGGTCTGAACTGGGCTTTCAGGCAAATAATACAACTTTAAAAATGGCACAAGTGATTTTTTAAAAATAAATAAAGATGAATTCGGCAACATTTCACATTCTTGCCCCAGAACTGCAACACAGATGGCAAATCATCGAGTGTTCTCTTGTGATTAATGGATAACAATGTCGGTATCCAGCTGTCTGACCAGACACTTTGAATGTGAATGTGTTATTTACATTACTGGCATTTTGAGGACAGGGCAGCTGCAGCTTAGCAATCTGATCAAGTTCCCCACAGCAGACAATGTGGAGCTCAAGCTGCAGTGAATGTAGCAGCTTTGGTGTTTTATGATTCTTAACCATGCATACACAGAAGATAAAAAAGGACATATGGGAATTCACCTTTTTAAAAAAAACTTATTTGAATGCTGCATATGAACCAGTTTCTTGCACTGAGGCAAATTCATTTGAAAATGTTTGATATACTTAATCTTTTGAGAATCCAAGATACACAAATTAACATTATGCATTCAGATTTAGTATGTAGGATGTCTCTAGGCAACAGAAAGTACTCTACTGTGAAAGAGTTGATGCCTCTTGTTATAGCGCCTCTCCACACTTCAAACTATAAGATGCCTTTGATTTTTTGATCAGAGAATCTGTGTACAGATAAAAACATGTGCACACACACGGTCACACACACACACACACACACACACACAATCCACAGCACCTCTCTCAAGACACACACTAGCCTAGTTTACCTTGAGACAAGGGGAGGAGGAGAAGCAGTAGAGCGAAACCGAGGAGGTCGATAGGGAGAGGAAAAACTGAGAACTGGGAGAGAAGGATGGAAATAGAATAAGAAATTAGGGAGTAAGGGAGGCGAGCAAGAAATAAAAAAAGAGAGAGAAGCCAAGGGAGAGGTTGAGAGAAAGAATCAACAGGAGAGAAAAGGGGGACGAGATATTAATGACAAGCAGGAGAGGAGAGAAATAGAAATGAAAAGGGAGAGAGAGAGAGAAAGAGAGCTAGCTGTGGGTTCATGCCTATGTGAAAGAGGTGTGGGCATGTCACTCAACAAAGAGGTTCAGACATCAAGGGACTCCATTGTAGTGGAGGAGAGGAGGAGGAGGATGGAGGTAAAGGGGAAGAGAGGTGCGAAGCTTTAGGTTTATGTCTCAAAGCAAATGTAGGAGGGAAACATTCTCTCATAGTCACTGTTTTCAGATGCATTTCTTTCCTCTCTATTTTTTGCCCTCTCCCACCTCTCTCCTCTATCACCATTCTCTCCCTCGTAGCAGCATGACGGGGTGATTTACTCAGTGTCTCTGGCTTTTTAATAGGTCAGGGTGTACTGAGTGGAGATGTAGTAATGCATGCACTTAGACACACAAGAATACACATCCACAGATACCTCTCTTTCATAAATATTGCAGGTATGAAATCAGATGAATGTGAGGATTGGGGAGACTGAATGACTGCTGCTGTTTGCTGCTTTGAAATTCACTGCTTAGGTGTGTTGTTAGTTCAGGGGTATTCAGTTAAAATTCAAAGCGGTAGAGTTACTAAAGTTTTCTCACAACAAAGGTCAGAATCTCATCATGTCTAAATGTGTCCTAAAACCTAGTCATTTGCATCTATCAGATAAAATGAAGAACATGCATTTCCACATCATTTCAAATACTTATTGTCAGTGTTTTCAAAGCATGCTGTTAACATACGGACACATTGAACTTGTATGGCAACCAAAAAGAATTGTTATTATAAATCCTCCTAGCACAACGGACTTAAGGCCTAAATTTCAAGTAAAGGAAAGACACAGTCTTCTGAATAACATAAATATAAAGTGCCTTTCCGTCACTGCTTATCCTGTTAGGGGTTATGAGGGGGCTGGAGCCTATCCCAGCTGACACTGGGTGAGAGGCAGGGTACACCCTGGACAGGTCACCAGACTATCACAGGGCTGACACATAGAGACAGACAACCATTCACTCTCACATTCACACCTACGGACAATTTAGAGTCACCAGTTAACCTGCATGTCATTGGACTGTGGGAGGAATCCGGAGTACCCCCAGAAAACCCACTTTTTTTCCTACTTCCTGTGAGTGAAATGGGACTGTGACTGCTCAACCAACAGTCTGAATCTTGTCTTAAATGGAGTTAGTGACATTCTCATGCATGTGTAGGTGCTCATCAGTGAGGTTTTTGTGTGTTTTAATAGTGTTCGTTGCAGTGAAAGCTGACTCACAGCTGTATGTCAATCCAAACATGGTCATGGTGTGTATTGCTACCTTGGTTAGAGCATGAAAACCAGTCTCAAGCCCCTTTTACACTGCCAGATTTTCCATGAATGTTGGGCCGTTTTGGCGGGAAGCTGCGAGCGTTTAGACACACACAGCCGGATTGGCGAGTTGATCCGAGGTTCCCAATTTTCCGCCTCGTAGGGTAGTCATATTGGCGGAATCCTTTTAGTTTAAAAAGACCGAGGTGGCCTTCCGCCACGGAGGGGCTGTTGAAGACTTGTGGGAGGAGCTGTTGATGACGCCGCACGTGTGAGCCACTGGCGGTGGATAAACAGGAAACAGCTGATAGCAGGAACTAAGAAGCAGCTAGTAGCAAGAGGGAAACACAAACCTGACAGACACTGTAAAGATGAGCAACTGGGGAGACAAGGAATTGCGTGTCCTCCTTGTCCTCGCAAATGAAGAGGCCATTAACCGTCAGATGACGGGGACGGTGAAGAACGGGCTGACTTACGAGAAAATTGCCGAAGGACTGACCAGCTGCGGCTTCCCTCCCACGTCACTGTTTACGTCACACGCTGAGCTACACGTTTTGTTACTTGCTCACGCCCCCCATTGCCCTGAAAAAGGCGCATTCTGTTCTGTTTTGCTGCACTCCCCGATTTTGTTTTCATACTGCCAATGCTGAAAGACTGATTGGGCTTTCCTGCAAATTTTCACAATTCCTGTTTAAAAGGGCTTCAGATAGTCTCTATAGCCAGAAAGTAGCAGGGTGAGTTGCTCTCTATGCTGTCATTCCTCTCACATCTTTCTTATGCTCTTGTTCTCTCTTGAGAACTATCTACACATGGTTAACAATCAATTAGGTTGGCTTAACTGAGTGAAGCTGCTGCTGTATTAACTGGATTGGCTGCACTCACATATAGAACCATCACTCACGTGCGATTTAGTGTAACACCCCTGGAGCATCTGGTTTCAGCTGAACCTCCAGTGGTTTAACTTGACATCTTGCTGCATTGATGTACAGGTGTACTTCAGGACTGTGTGACATCTCAGAGCTCACTTTTGCTGAAACACACTTCTTATTGCTGGAAAAGAGCTTGCAATGTTTACTCAGCTATCTTTTCATTAATGAAAGTTAACATAAAATAATCTGTCGCATTCTGTCTCCTCTATCACAGTGGGATGGCGTGGGCCCCTTCCCGGACACAGCCGAGCCCCCCAAAGGGGTTCAGATGCTGTGGCACCCCACCATCGTTAAGCCCTACCTCACCCTGCTGTCTGAATGCTCCAACCCGGACACCCTGGAGGGAGCAGCCGGGGCTCTGCAGAACCTGGCTGCAGGCAGCTGGAAGGTAACTGCCTGATTTGATATGTTTCTCAGTGCTTTCAGACTTCTTTGCCACACATAAATATCATCAGAGCCCACAAGTATAATCACAAATTTACTGGTGTTTTGATTGTAGAATTAATATGCAGATGTTCACGCTGCTCTCACAGTCCTTGTACTGTACTGTCTACTGTTAATGTATATGTGTCCTTATATCTCTTTAACTGTCCATTAGTATGAAAGAAGGGATTCATCATTAGCTTGTCCTTTCTCAGCCATGCGGTGAAAGCAGAGAAACACAGTGAACACACATTATTTGTGCAGATAAACCACAGATTAAACAGTTTATTTACATTTTTATAGGGTGCTGTTTCTCTTTTATATCTTCTATACTGTTTTTTTCCAACTCCATAGTACTGCTGTCTTATTGTATCTCTTATTTTAACTTGCACTATTTTTACTCCACTCCATACATCAGAGGTGTATGGGTCCAGGGACCATGTTGTGTTGTATAAGTGTTAATGTTGCACCTTGATCCCAGAGACATGCTCCTTTATTCTGCCCTGCAAAAAGATGTATGGTAAACTGACAATGAAGTTGATTTGATTTGTAAGTAGGACAAAGCTACAGTGTGCGTGCAAGTGTGTACTTATATGTGAAGGCTACCTATCTGATGGCTGAGTTCTTTTTAGGAAACTCTCACAGCCTTTAACCGACAACTGCTCCGCACCCAGGCGGTTAGATGTAACAATACTTCGTACAAGGATTAATAACATAGCTCTGATTTGGCGTCTGTTTATTGAAAATGTTGTAAGGATAGTTTTCAGAGAGTAATTTCACAGGATGGAAATTCTAAGACAGACTGGCCTTGCTGAGTGTTTCCATGGCAGGCAAATATCCATTGACAAGTTAACAAAGGATTAAAAATCAACAAGGACACTATGGCAGGTTGGGTGTGTGCCACTTTTTCTTTTCAACCCTGATCATCTAGTTCTGTCTTAAATCACATTCAAAGGCTGATTTGCAGTAATTACCACAGAGTCCAAAATATACATAGCTCAGACACTCAGTTTAAATAATGTTCTGTTTGCTCACTCCGCCATCCGGCTGACTTTGACGAATCTCCAGCACAATCCCATGTTTTTATATGTTCTATAGTATATAATATTGTTCAGCAGCAATGCAATAACTGTAATAATGTAAAGGCTCCAAGCCTGAACACACCAGGGAGTAGAGCCAGGGTTCAACAGCAGCTGACTGATGGAAACAGCTAGATGGTAATCATATATGAGTCATGCAGTCACATTGGAGAGTATCGGTAAAGGCAGCTTAAGCCTTGAGGGAGGTGCGTATATATAAGGGTATGAGGCAGAAAGTGTGAGGGTGTAACCTTGGAATGACCTTGGAAAACTGCATCAGACATTGTTGGTTGTAAACAGGCTATGCGGGAATGTTGATGGAAGTGTTTATGCGGTCAAAAAAAAAAGAAAGAAAAAGCTAAGTTGAAAGGTTACATTACTTTTTGCTGTTTGTGAAAACTTGAAGTCTAGAGGCAGTTACAGACAAAGAAAGCACACTGTGATCGAGATAGATGTCTCTGTGGTCCTGTAAATGTGCGTGGGAGTTGTATGTATCTGATTTTGGTTTTGTGAGTTTTTCCATGGGTAGTGGACAGAGAAGCGGAGATGGAAGAGGAGGCTATAGAAAGACAAGGGAGAAGGAGGAAATGATGGGGGCAGGTGGTCTTCAGGAAATCACATTTTCTGTTTTGGGGCCCGCATGCATGTGTGTGTATGTGTGTGCTTTGTTGTGTCTTCTCTAAGCCATCTCCCTCTCCTGACTTTGCTAACAGTTTCCAAAGAAGCTGTGTTGGCGTGCTGCTGGCACACTCTACGCTCTGTTCGCTAAGCTCTTGGTTAAGACATATGATCATTTCTCTCCAAGGGTGAATTATTTCCTAAAATGATTATGTGCACCATAGTTTGCCCATTTCGGTCTCCAAGAAAAACAATAGTGTTCTAACCTTAACGTACCTCGGAAATTATTATTTTCACGCAGTCTTTTAGCTTCACACTTGACTTACTGATATCTATTCTTGGGTGCTGCTTAGCTCATCCCCAGTCTTCTACAGTTGACCCACAACACGGCACCACTTGAGCCGTTTAGGGTTGAGTGGTCTATTTAAGCGTACCTTGATAGTTATTGAGGGAGGATAGAGTGGTCTCCAAGCTCAAAACTCTTCTCTCTGGTTCATGTAATTCTCCCTCTTACAGTATATCACTGGTGAGTCAGTGTAATGCCTCAGCCCTTCTTATATTGACCCGTCTCCCACTCGACCTCGTCCATTGTACTTCATGTCTCTTTTTCCTTTTTCCTACTGTACCCACTTTAGAAAAGAAAGAATAGATAATAGCAGATCTTCATTGTCAGATTGCGCAAGTTCACCAAGATTCAGTTTGCAAGTTCTGCATCAATGCTATAATAAATAGGTAAAAAATAAACAGCAAATAGTAATAAAAGCTAAGGCAGCTGTCACAGTGTTGTAATAAAGTCACTTGTGCCAGATAAGTGTGAGGGCAGTCAGACAGATTATGGGGGAGACGTAGTGGACTGATGCAGTGCAAATATAGCTCTAGGGAAAAGGCTATTTCTCAGTCTGGAGGTGGGAGCGTAGAAGGCCTTATAATGTCTTCCAGATGGAAGGAGTTCAAACAGACGGTTGCATGGGTGTATGAGGTCCTTACAGATGCTGGTGGCTTTTCAGAGACAGCATCAGCCATCAGTGTCCTCCAGGGCTGGGAGCTGTATCTCAGTGATCTTCTGTGCTACAGAGACAACTCGCTGAAGAGCTTTCCTATACAGTGTTGTGCGACTGTGATACCAGACAGAGATGCAGTGTGTGAGGAGCCTCTCTGTGGTGTAGTGATAGAAAGTCACCAGCATCTGTCGGGGCAGGCCAGCTTTTTATGCCTCTGTGCTGACAACAGCTATGGCTGGAGGAATCTTGTTTTAGTTTGTCCATCTGATCATCCATTCATCCCATTCTCGTGAACATGATATCTTAAGAACCCTTGAGGGAATTTCCTAAAATTTGGCACAAACGTCCACTTGGATTTAACAATGAATTGATAAGATTTTGTTAAACATCAAGGTCAATGTGACCTCACATCCGTCCCATTCTTGTATACCCAATATCTCAAGAATGCCTGAAGGGAATGTCTTCACATTTGGCACAAACGTCCCCTTGGACTCAATGATGAACAAATAGGATTTTGGTGGTCAAAGGTCACAGTAATTATGACAAATTTTCACACAAATGACTAAGAGGATAAAATGATGAAGTGATGACATTTTATATCCAACAGGTCAAAGGGCAGCTTCAGTGTGACATCACAATGTTCTTCAAAAGTACTTTCCTGGCCATATCTCAATGGGTGCGGTTACATGATGACTTCTCATTCAGAATGAAATAAATCTGAATGAAATCATTCGGAATTAAAGTCTTTCCAGGTAGTTTACATGGGAATTATTCATTCCAAATGAGGGTTTAATAGCCTTTTAGTCGCCTTTATTCGGGTCTGCTCAAGGTTTGGGGCAGTGAAGGTTTTTGATTGGATAGTGGGCGGGGCGGATGTTACGTGTTTATGTTTATCGGAAGAAAATATTGTCGCCCTCGTTCCAGATAACAAGATGCTTGACGACGGCATTCTTAGTGCCTTTTTCGGGCTTGTTTTGCTTATATTCTTGAAGCAGCAGTACGACAACAACCTTGTTCTGCTAATGCTTCGTCTGTTGAGGAGGAGAAAAGAGGTAGAAGGTTGAAGAAGGGAGATAGAAGACTGTGCTTTGGGGAGTGGAAACCGGTGAGTGCAACGAGTCGCGGGCACGCTATATACGTCATCGCGCCAGAGGGGCAAGGAAATGAGCATGCGCAGAAAGACCGGAATGAACTTAAAGAGGAATGAGTGTATACAAGTGCGAGTTCATTCGGAATTAGAAATGGAATATTCCAGCCCCTTACATCAGAATTAATTTTCAGTCGCACTGGCCATTTTCATTCCGAATTAGGTGTTTACAAGATCACTTTTAATAGGAATTAACTTTTATTCCAAATGAAAAGGGAACTAAACTGTCCATGTAAACATACTCACTGTATTGGTGACACTGATCTTTGGTGCCTAAATTGAAACTGTGGTGTTTGCGTGGACCTTCTGTGCTGCCGGGTTGAAGCTGTGTGTGAAGCATCCTCATTTTAAAGGTTGAAGCATTGTCTGCTGTCATGGCTACATAACAATCTGGACAGACGTGGATGTAAACTGTAACTGCAACCTGACTGGTTGGCAGAACTGCGAGGCTGTAATTCTAGCTCAGCTTGTATTCACAATCTGTTGCTCTGTCTGGTTAAAGACAGAAAATAATCAGCGTGGTGACAATAAGACACTGTAAGAAAAAAGAAGAATGGATTAAAGATTCCACAATGCACAGGTGTGACCACAGTTACCCCATTGTAAGGAGAAACCAAACAAGCAGTGTCATAAGCATGTGAAGAGGATGGTTTCTGTATTGTTGCCATGCACTCAGTCTTTTGTATACTTTGCTGTGTGGACACAGTTGTTATTACTGTGGCCTTGCATCCTCTTTATCCCATTCAAGGAGAAGACTGTTGAATAAAACCAAAAAAAGTAAAACCTTTGTTTTAGAAATAAATTTTTTCTTTATTACAAAATCTTAATAATGCTCTTGTGAAGTACATTGCCACCACAAATGTACCATGGGATTGTTTTTACTGTTGCCTGGCTACGATACATGCATTTAAATTTTTGCTATTTTGCTATCCTCCCCCTGATTTCTCCTCGTCAGTGGTCGGTGTACATCCGGGCTGCTGTGCGTAAGGAGAAGGGCCTTCCCATCCTGGTGGAGTTACTGAGGATAGACAACGACAAGGTGGTGTGTGCCGTGGCCACCGCTCTCAGAAATATGGCCCTGGACATCAGGAACAAGGAGCTCATTGGTGAGTACTGATGAAAACTTTTCCCAGAGATGATATTTGGTGGTGAAACATCCCCCGCTTGGTAGACAGTCATTAGCACTTTTCAATCTCTATCAAGTTACATGAATTTGGACACCTGCAGTGCTGTGCTCAGTTGCAGTCTCTGTTGTTTGTTTGTGAAGAGCGTCCTGAAGCCCATTTTCATCTCTAATTGCATTCTCTCAAAGCTGCTCCACTGTGGTCTGCCCCTGTCACATTGCTCTCATTTCGAGTATGCAAGTCAAGAGCTTGTGTACAAGTGATGTAACACAAGGGTAAAGAGCCTGTAGCCAGTTGCACCAATTAGAAGTAATTTAACACTAATGCCAGCCTGTAGTTACCTCATAGTAACTAGTAGTAGTTTGATGGCTCACTTGGCTTGTTCCACTTGGAGAACTTTGGTGCTGCTGTGGCATTTTGACCTAATGGGTTAATGATGTCTTTTTTTAAGACCATTATTTGGCAATCACAAACTACAATCAAGACTATATGATGAGCTGACATTTTAAATAGGGTTGCCCCATGAAAGTCAAAGATTCAAATCATCAGTGACCCTGCCGTCGACTGAGGAATGGGGGGCGGCATTTTGATCCCCAGATTTAGCTGCAGAGTGAGTGCTCCTGGCTTTCACACTGCTCTCCGTTATCGAGTCTTGGCAAAACATGTTGTTGCATCTCCAGTCTTTCATTAGCGTAGTTAGCATGCATCAGCTCAGAGGGCTAACTTGGCTTGTTTACTATATTACATGATCATTGCTGTCATCCTGAAGGTCCCAATGAAGCCTGTTAAACTCTAACTCTGTATGGAAAAACAGGAACGAATAGTCAAATGCTTGTATTAAATGGACAAATCTGAGAACTGAGGATGTCTTGTAATTAATTAATCGAGGCCAGAGTATGTTTGTTGTGAGAAAATTAGAGTAATACGGAGAGACAATTCAGGGAGGTGAGTAAAGTAAAAACACATGTAGAAAAAAATGTAGCTGTGAGAGAAAGTACAGAAAGAGGGAGAGTGTGAGAGAGATACTCTAGCAGGGGAGATGATCAAATCAAAGAGCTGCACTGGGCTTTGAAAAGCACACTGTGGTCATGAGTGCACCTCAGTCAGGCTAGCTGACTGGCAGCTACACCACATCTAGTGACAAAGGATAACTGGTTAGCTAACACATTAACACATGTGGATAAATGTTTCCCTCTGTGTCTACAAATGTGTTTATGTGTGTGTGTGTGTGTGTGTGTGTGTACAGTATGTGAGCATGTGGCATCACCCCTCACCGTCTCTGGTATCTCTGATTATCTCGGCTTCCTGGTGGGCTCAGTGGTTTCTATAGCAACCCCGCTACCCTCAGCCTCAGACGAGGGACATGTGGAGCCTCTCTGGGTTTCACCGAAGTGTTTGTAAGAGCGACAAGGAATACCACAGGCACAGCTCAACACGCCCATACACCACGTCTGTCTGGCGCACGGCTGCAGATTACAGGATAATTGAAGGCTTTGCACAAAGACGCTTATCAGTCGGATTTGAATGGTTTTTGTTTATGTTTGTTTGTCTGTGTGTTTTCCTTTCCTCAATGCACCTGCAGATGTATCAGTGAGTCATTTGAATATAAAGTTAGGCGCTGTAGAAACCCTCACAGGTGCATTCATTTATTGTTTTGCAAAACACGTTTTAAGGCACATTTTCTAGATATTAGATAATGAAATATGGGCGCAGGAATTATTTAAATGCACTTGATCTATATTGACTCAAACAGAATTGTTAATGCAGTAAATTAGTGTTTCCCCTGCCACCAACCAGGTAGCGTTTATTAATGTTTAATGTATAATATTAATAGGATATTGTAGTATCTCAAGGTCAAAATGCTGCTATAAATCCCTTTACATTAAATCTGCCCGAAACATTTGCTTTCATATTTTCTAAATAGATGTGAATAAAATTTAAAAAAAAAACAACAGTCCACATACTGACATGATTTAATCCAGTCTTCCATTTGACCTTTTTTGACGAGAACAGCTAACGTCTGCTCTGGAAATCATTAAAATGTTCGCTAATTGATTAAAAGCAATTGGTCAGTTTTTACCTTTTAGTCATTTATAGCCATTAGCTCCTCAAGCAGAGAAAGATAAAGAAGAGTTATGGAATGAGAGGTAGACACTGTAATGGATATGCGCTTCGTCGAGAGAAAGGCAGGCAAAACACACAGGATGATTGAATAATGTAATTACTTCCAAATTCACAGGGAAAATCAATTCAAATTTGTTTGGCATTTTCATTTGACTACACGCTTGACTTATTCAGCTGCAGGATAACATGGTTTAAGTCCTGCGTGTGATTAGCTCTCCCGGTGTTATTTCAGAGACTTAAGAGACAGACAATAAGACAGAGATAGAGTTATGGAGGCAGATTAAGATATGTAATAGAGAGAGATAATTAGGGGCATTGCAGATCATCATTTTCCCGTAGCAACCGCGGCTGGCACCATCAGGAAGGTGCTGGCAGACTGATTAAAAATAGAAACACCTGGGCAGGAAAACAGAGATCTTGAGGAAGATTGGTGTGGTTTTGACTGTTACGCAGTTAACATTATTATTATTAACTGTCTCAAGACACTAATAGGTTAATGTGACACTGGAGTATGATCCTCCAAAACCAGATGTATTAAAGCTTCCTTAAAGGAGACCTGTTTTGCTCTATTTTAGATTCATACTTGCATTTTGGGTTTCTACTTGAGCATATTTACATGCTTTAATGTTAAAAATACATTATTTTTGTCATACTGTCTGTGCTGGAACACATCTGTTCAACCTCTGTCTGAGATGCCCCATTTCAGTGCCTCTACCAAAAAGTCCAGTCTGCTCTGATTGCTTCTGACAAAGCGAATGACTTTAACAGAGTATAGGAGCTCTTTCTACCATGAAAAGTCACCAATAAAAGGCTTCTAAACCACAACTCAACATGTTACAGTGGAAATTTGATCTGAAACTGGGAAGAAAATGATCTAATTTGCAACCAAGATTACTTGTTTCCCTGATGTTAGCATGTTGCTACATGTAGCAGTGTACTTGCAGCGGGGGAATGCCTGCAGCGTAGCAGAGTGGCACTTTCTATCTTAGAAAAAAATCACCAGTGAAGGGGCCGTACACATGCCACGACTTTAACCGCCTGGAAAGTGCGAGGTCAGGTGCTAGGCGCTACTCTTGTGCCTTTTTTGTGCCAGCTTTCAGGAGCACGGCCGCAGGTTGGGTCTGAGGTTGCTAAGTGTCCTCAACAAGCACCGTATCACAGCCTGTTTACCTGAAATCCTGAGTGCAGGGCTGTTGTCTTTCCAGGCGCTGTTTTGTAAGTGTGTATTAGACCAAAAACATTGTCCTGGGACAGATGTAAAGCTCTGATAGCCCTGCACTAAAGTGATCAACCTATATATTTCCCACAGACTGATATTTACGGAAGACGGAAAATATCTGTCAGCTGTGATTGGTTGTCCCTCATCACATGACATGCATTGCGCGCTGCTGCGTTCCAAAAGTTTAACTCTGTTTATCCCAGGGTGCAGCCTTGCCCTGAAAAATAGGGACTTCGGAATGCGTGTGCACCGCAGCAGCGTGGCTGTGGCGTTTGAGCATGTCTGCTGCGCATCTACATTGAAAACAAAGAACATGGTACGCCCCTCAAAACTTTTAGACCAAAATCTTTAGAGCCAGACTATGATCCAAAATCAGCAAGAAATGAAATAACTTTGGCAACCAAGGCCACACGTTTCCCTAACATTAGCATGTAGCTACATGTAGCACTGTAGGCTGCGTATTGTAAACACTTGCAGTAGCGTACCTGGAGCAGATGACCATATAAAGAAATCCCTCATGAACTGACATCAGCTTGTCTCAAAAGTAGGTGAAAAAGTTGACAACAGAGTGTTTAGAATGGTCTGAAGCCTTAGGTTTTTCCTTACAGGGTTTACTTTCACATTCATTTAAAACATCTGACACTGTGACATTATAAACTGTATATGACTAAAATAAGGAAAGGTGTAGGTCCCCTGTAAGCCATTTCAGCATAAAGTGGCAGAAAGATTCTTGAACAGGCCAGTCGTTTATTATGTTCTTATGACCAGCATGTTGGCAAAGAAGCATCTGAATACTTTATATCAAGCACAGGGCAACATGTGTATCCCATACTATTCCTTGCATTAGAATATAAATATTTAATGACCCTGGGATGTTCCTCAAATTAATGAAAAAAGTTATCTAGATGTTTAGTTTCCTCAGCTACTCTTAATTTGTCTCTTTATCTTTTTGGCTAAAAAAAAGTTTTATATGAACTGACATTGTTGTGGTTTCACAGGCTTGTAAACAAAAATAATGAGGTAAAAGCAGCTGGAAAATGCATTGAGCTGCAGGGTTTGTTGTTGATTCCCAGTGGGACTGTCTTTACCAGCAGCCCTCCCAGGGATCCATTAGTTCAATATTAAAATTGCCTATTGCACCTAACAAGACAATAACGGTAACCTGGCTCTGTTTAGCCAGCTATCAAACATTATTTAGTTAAAACTGATCAATATCAGTGGAATAAACCATCAGTTCATGTTTAAAATCAGCTCGCACATCAACTTATGTTCCTCACAGTCGAGATAGCCAAATGGTCAATGAGCCAGAGAGCAACAGTCAGAGTTAATGACACACAATGTCACAGAAACACAGAAAGCCTCAGAGATGAAGAGGGGAAAATGGAGAGAGGAAGAGAAAAGTGAGAGGGATCAGGCAGGGTTGAGCTTTTGCTCTTGGCAAGCTGTGATTTGATACATGTCGACAGGAAAGAGGTAGATGCCAGGCACTCCTGAGAGACAAGCCCCATTTGGCCCATGTTCACAAGCTTTATTCACCACAGTGACTCTAACCTCTGAGTCAAAGACCTTTTCCTTTACACCATGCACTTGTGCAGAACAACAGTTTAACCTGGAGCGACAAAGCGATTTCATGCAGCAG